TAAACTCTGGCCGGCTTGTGATCTTAGATTCCTAGCCATCAAAAGACCACAAGAAGGTAAATCAATATAATCTAGATTGTCCATAGCTGTCCGAGCCAAACCAAGAAGCTAGGCCAATAGGCTGCTCCTACTATATATGAGTGGAACTTGTAACCATGTGGTTACTAAGTCAACAATCTGACCAACTCGGTTGGGTTGCCCCTACCTGCTAGTTGCTTCATACATACTGTTTGTGAAACCAAATTATGATCGATTGCTTCAATTCTTGTGTATGGGTAATAATGTAATTGGATTTGCAATTGTATAGTTCACTTCAGGTGCGAGCAGTATTTCTCAGAAGGCAGGTGTTGCTGCTCTGGGGCTTGGATATGCTGGTGGAGAAGCTGTTGCAACAATGGTAAAAGCATTCCAAGAGAGACGTGATTTTCTAGTCAAAAGCTTTGGGGAAATGGAAGGACTCAAATTTTCAGAACCTCAGGTAACTAACTGTAAACTGATCAAAGGGAAAAAGAAAAGCAAGCCATGCATATGTGTGTCCCTCTTGACTTGTATTTGCTTTGTAGGGAGCCGTCTACTTGTTTATTGACGTCAGTGGTTGTTATGGAGTGGAGGTTGATGGGTTTGGCAGTGTGAATAATTCAGAGGCCATATGCCAGTATTTGTTGGATAAAGCTCAAGTAAGTATATTTTTCTGGAGCTCACACCTGTTGGTTATTGACTGGTAGATTGTGTAAAGGACATGGGATTGAGTCTTGCTAATTAGTGTTGAGTTTCACCTTCTTGGTAGGCAGCCAGGCAGGGCTCGTGTATAATGCTCAACAACACATGGCCTCAATTTTAAAGAGCTCAATATCTATTTTTAACCTAGTTGCTAAAAAAAGATCTACAATTAAGCCCACATTTCTTCATGCCTCTTTCTATCTTACCTAAAACTCATTAGTTATTTTATTTTTTCCCAAATCGCGCACCACCCGAGCAAGATTCTTCCTTCCTCCATTAATTTTGCAACTTTTTTCCAAACTTCGTTGATTAACAAAGTTACAATTCAATTTTCGCTTCTCTCTCCTCTCCTAATTAATTGATTAGAATAATTATACTTTTGGTAAGATCTCATTTATTTACAAAAACAGGCTACAAAAAATTCACAAGACGACTATGTTGGGAGACACTGATCATCCCATCTAATAAACCTCTGAATGACCATGATTTATCCTCTATAATCTTATTTGATCATGGTATAGGGGTTCCGGGGATAGAGATTTCTCTTTTGTGGAGAAGCATATTTTCTGAAAATCATGGCCTAGCTACCTAAGATCATTCATTATCTAAAAGGGTACGGTTGTTCGCTTATATTAATTACATTATGATTAGATGATTAATTAATTTAGTTTTGTGGATTGATTAAATTGCAGGTTGTTGTGATGCCAGGAGAAGCATTTGGGGACGACAAATGTATCCGGATCTCCTACGCATCGTCTTCACTCTCCGTTTTGCAAGCAGCAGTTGAGAGAATCAGGAAAGCATTGATCCCTCTTAGATCCCACTAATTTCTTTCAACAAAATTCTAAGAACTCTAATCCAATGGGATATTATTACGAATTCTAAATTGTAATACCATTTTTTTTTTTAAATATCGAAATACCATTTTTCTTTCTTTTATTCTTATTAGTAGTATTATATTTTATCTTGGACTCTCTATCTTATGTGTTATAGATAGGTCTCTATTATATTTATTATCTTTGAGTCTTCTATCTTTATCAATACACAAAATACACGTTCTCATCTGGTATCAGTCGCTTAGGTTCTCTCCTATGGCCGACCCTACTGACAGTTCTGCCCATGTTTCTTCTGAGCGGACTGTTTCTGATGCCGCACTTCACGTTCCCCTTATTGCAAACACCAATCTTTCGTCTGCCCACCATTTTATCTCTATTAAATTGACATCCCGGAACTATTTGTTTTGGCGTACACAGCTCGTACCCTTTCTCACTGGTCAGAACTTATTGGGATTTGTCGATAGTTCTTTTCCGTGCCCAACCGCCGCTGTGGTACTGTCCGTGTCGCCGTCTGGTGAGCAGCAGCCTCCGCCAGCACCGGTTGTCTCTTCTGGTCTTACGGCTGCCGCATGGAGACAACAGGATCAAGCCATCCTCTCGATGATGATTTCGTCGCTTTCCAACGAGGTTATGCACTTGGCAGTCGGTAAGTGCACATCTCGGCAGGTGTGGTTGGCCGTCGAGCAGGCATTCGGTTCCACGTCGCGGGCCCGAGTTCTCTGGTTGCTTGGGCAGCTTCAGGGTCTCTGGTAGGGCGACGAATTCGTGGCGGATTATCTTCGCCGCGCGTAGGTGATTGTTGAAGACTTGGAGTTGGCCGGCCGGTCGGTGACCTTGGATGACCAGAATATGTATCTGTTTTGTGGGCTCCGATCGGAATACCGGCCGTTGGTGGCGACCTTGACGGCGAGGGGTGAACCAGTCACCATGTCTAGCGACCATGGCCCACGCTTCTGTTCCTTCCCGTTTCTGGGAGTTCGCGTTTGAAACGGCAGTCTATCTTATAAACCGGATGCCGTCTTCTGTGGCTCGATCGTCAACTAAGACAGAATACAAGGCGTTGGCGGATGTCTCGGCTGAGGTCACCTGGTTAGTTGCCTTGCTGCGTGAGTTGGGTTTGCCTCTATCTGTGTCTCCCAAGCTGTGGTGTGATAACTTGGGCGCCACCTATCTCTGTGCTAATCCTGTCTTTCATGCTCGTACAAAGCATGTTGAGATAGACTACCACTTTGTGCGTGATAAGGTGGCCAAGGGGGAGCTTCGGGTTAATTTCATTTCTACCCAGGACCAGATCGCTGATCACTAAGCCCATGGCTGGGCCTCGGTTTACTCTGCTGCGTTACAAGCTCAATGTTGTTAGTCACCCGACTTGAGCTTGAGGGGGAGTATTAGGAATATATCATTTAGTAGTATTATATTCTATCTTGGACTCTCTATATTGTGTGTTATAGATAGATCTCTATTGTATTTATTATCTTTGAGTCTTCTATCATTATCAATACACAGAATACACGTTCTCATCATTCTCACACAATTTTCTTTGAAGTAAAGGCTAAAGAACCAAGAAAATTTACATTTTTTGAAAATTTTAAAATGTGAGAATGAAAAATATGATTATGTGTTGGTTTTGACTTGAAAATTTTGAGTTAACTAGGAATGTGATTCTCTGTTAGTTAGAAATATTAATTAAAAGTTAGAGGCCAGGTGACCAAATTCTTCTTTTTAGATAGTTAAGAATGTGTAGAGTATATCTTTTTTTTTTTTTTTTTTTTTTTTTTGTCTTCTTGTTTTCATGTTGAAAAGTTGGGTGATGAGTATCCAGTTAAACGAGTCATGTCAATAAGAAAATATAATATTTATATTGAAAAATATACTAATCGGGAATAAATTGTTCATTATTTACAAGAAAAAATGTAATATTTTTGAGAAAAAATTATAATACTTTTAAATTAAAATGTAATATTTAAGATTTTATCTAAACTGTTATTTATGAGAAAAAGTGTAACATTATCGGTGATAGATTTTAATTGAGTATTACTTATGTGAGAAAGAGTAACATTAATATGATATAAGAGTTGATAAGTAAGGAAAATGTGATACTTTTAATGAAAATTATAATACTCCTAAATCAAAATGTCATATTAGGAGTTGATAAGTTAGTTATGAATAAAATTTTAATACTTAGAATGAATAGTACAATACGAAAAATTTGATCCATTTCACGGATCCTTATAAGAGAATTTGTTGGCATACCTATATATTACTATATTAGAGATTAAAAAAAAAAAAAGTTTTCTTTCGAAAGTTATAGAATAAATATTTGAAATTATAACCTTTCAACGAATTTAATGGTTAACATGTTGCCTAATTTTTTAAAGTTGTTTCTAATAAACACCTCATTTGATTTTTTTTTTCTTATTTATAAATTTTTTTTTTTAGTATTAGTAACTTTATTACAATGTAATATCTGTTTATATCTATTTTCTCAACCTATTGAACCATAAAGAGTCAATACTGTCTCCACTAAGGCTTGAGTCCATGACTTTGGATGAGTCATTTCATACGACTAAACCAAATGACTCAAGGGAAATTGACAAAAATAGGCATATTTTGAAAATGTGGACAAAAATGAACAATTTTTGAAATTTAGACAAAACTTGTTTGACAAATGCGATTTTGGTGTTGCCAAATCAAAAATGCATTTTCCCAAATGCTTTTTCATATATTTCCTAAAATTATTTTTAAAATTCAAAAAAATATACAATTGCATATATCATGTGTTTATGGATACTTTTGGTAGGGATATCAATCTGTGTGTTTGTTGACTTTGTTCTAATTTAGCTCCTGTTGAATAGCTGTATATGTTAGATTAGTTGTTGTAACTTCTTCTCTACCTTTCCTCCTCTGTACACTATTTATAGTTTCCTGAGCTTACATTAATAAACATCAAGTTCATAAACTCTATATGGTATCCAGAGACTGAAATATCCTACGAAAGAATTTTTTTTTCTAATCAATGGCTTCCACCAACACCAATGAGATCATCCAGCTAAATGCTCCCACTCACTTTCCTATCAAACTTACCACCACCAACTTCCCAGTTTGGCGCCGGCAGGTTCACGCCACCCTTGTTGGCCTCAATCTCCTGGACTACGTTGAAGGTTCCACCAAGGAATCGGCCAAATTCTCGGACGATGCTCAATCCGTCCCCAATCCTAATCATTTAATTTGGTACCATCAAGACCAAATTATTGTTAGTGCGCTTCTTGGAAGCTGTACTGATACAATCCAGCCACTCATCTCGTCGGCCACAACGGCTCATGATGCGTGGCAACGCCTTGTTGCAGGTTATGCTAGTGGCCCCGATGACGCATTATCTCCCTCAAGGCAAAGCTAACCAGAAACCCGAGAGGCTCTCAGTCTATTTCAGCATATCTCAATGATATGCGAGCCATAGCTGACGATCTTGCCTTGGCTCAGTGTCCGGTGTCTGAGGAAGATTTGCTCGTGTACATTCTGACTCAGCTAGGAGAGGAGTACAACTCCATTATTTCTGCAATCCGCATTCGTGAAAAACGTCTCTCGTTGGGTGAGTTAGCCGATGTCCTAACAGACCATGAACGTCAATTGAAGGACGCAGATGATTCACGCCAGTTGTTAGCAACTGCCGATGCTACCCAGCGGACTTCGTCCCTTCGGAACAACCGACAATTGAACTTCAATCGAAATGCCCGTACCAATACTAACAACTACGGAGCCAACAGATTGACTTGGCAACAAGGCGGCACTAATCGGCCCACTGTTAGCTGCAAGTTTTGTAACTTTGCAGGTCATGAAACGAAAGTTTGCCGCAAGCTTGCTAGGTTCCTGAAAGAGCATAACATCCTCACCGCCCAGATGCCGCCTATAGTCCAGTCCGCGCAGGTATCTCCACCCTGGATGTTTGACAGCGGTGCATCGCATCACGCCACTTCTAGTCTTGAGTCACTGTAGTCAATCTCTGAGTACAATGGGCCTGATGAGGTTCGCCTGGGTGACGGTAATTCCCTACATATTTCACATATTAGCCAGTCTGTTATCCCTACTCCATCCTCTGTCCTTACCTTAGAAAATATCTTGCATGTTCTTCAGTTACACACTAACTTGGTTTCCATATCCCAACTATGCAAGACTAATCATGTATATGTGAAATTTTTTGGTTCCCATTTTCTTGTTAAGGATCTTCAAACCGGGACTACGCTACTGAAGGGAGTGAACAATAATGATGTCCACTATGGACCTGTTGCTTCTCACCCAATTGTACACACTACGCAATTGTCCTCTCTGTCTCAATGGCACCAACAGTTTGGCCATCCGTCCAATAGGCTGTTGCAACACTATAATGTTCCAGTTTTTATGTCATCTCTGCGACAATTCTACTAATCTTCCCGCAATATTCATAAAAGCCATAAATTACCTTTCGCAAAAAATACCCTTGTTAGCACTAAACCTCTGCAATTAATCTATACCGATGTATGTGTGTAAACGCGAAAAACTTGAATTGTATATATTCAAAATTCAAAGTATCGGTTACAAGTAGTATCAAGTATATATCAAACGGGAAGGGGTACAATCTCTGTATATGAGAAGTCCTATGATTCTCTGCTACAAGTATGCCTGTTAGAAGTGTGCCAAATTTGGAATATGCCAAATTGGAAGTGTGTTGAGTTCAGAGTATGCTGAACTTGAAGTATGCCGAGTTCGAGAGTATGGCCGAACTGGAAGTATGCCGAGTTCCTTGTTGGAAGTGTGCTGAGTTCAGAGTATGCTGAACTGGAAGTATGTCAAGTTCGGGAGTATGGCCAAACTGGAAGTATGCCGAGTTCGGGAGTATGCCGAACTGGAGTAGTTCCTTGCTGAAGGGCCTCCGGAGTTGGTAGCTTGTTCCTCAATGAAGGGCTAATATGCAGCTTGATCTTCAAAGAAGGGCTTCCGGTGTTCAAGTGGCGTGTTCCTCAGCGCGGTATACGCAGTACAACTGCGGGCGTGTTCCAGACGATATCCTGGCGAGACTTCGGCAGAGCTTCAGTATGCAGATTTCCAGAGCCCCAATTCTTGAAAATGAAACCACTATTTATAGTGGTGAGGGTGAGAGAAAATCTCCAACCAACTCTTAATTCCTTATTTAATTTAATTTCTTTAATTAAATTAAGAAATGTATCGGGACACCATTGTGTCCGGGTTCATGATTTCATTAAATTTCAAATAATGTCAAATAATCCGAATTCCTCAAAATTATATAATCCACATATAATTTTAGTAGGCCAAGACCAAGTCAAGCCCGCTAATTAAGCAACCCAATTCATCCAAGCAGCCTGGTCCAACTCGATTAAATATTCCATCAACTTGGGCCGAACAATCCAACATTCAATTACATTTAATTAAGTAATTAAACTAATTAAATATTCAATGGGCCATTTAATTAACCCGATTAAATAAATATTAGTCCAATTAACTTAATTAAAGTAATTAATTTAAGAATTAAATATCCACCACGGTCCAACAATATTACTTAAATTTTTCAATGCTTACAATGGGGACCTACGGGAAAGTCTATTGATGAGTTTTACTATTATCTAATATTTGTTGACCACTTTTCAAAATACATTTGGCTATACCCCATGAAGCATAAGCCAGATGTCTTTGAAATATTTACTCAATTAAAAAAATTAGTGGAAAAATTTGTTAGCTTTCCGATTGTCTCTATTTACTCAGATAATGGGGGAGAATTTGTAAAACTTATACCGTTCCAGCCTGAACACCCATGGTATTTCTCATTTCACCACCCCACCACACACTCATGGGCATAATGGTGTCGCAGAGCGACGACACAGGCATGTGGTTGAAACCGGTATGGCCCTCTTTCACTCCGCATCCCTGTTGTCCTCATACTGGACCTACGCTTTTCAGGCAGCCGTCTATCTCATCAACCGGTTCCCCACACCGATCTTAGGTAATCAATCTCTGGTTTACGTCCTGTTTCATCAGTCGCCTAACTATAGTAAGTTACAACCTTTTGGCTACTTATGTTTCCCGTGGTTGCGCCTTTATAACACCAAGAAGCTACAGCCGAAGTCGTGTCCGTGTGTCTTTCTTGGCTACTCCAACACTCAATCGGGTTATAGATGTCTGGATCCTAGTTCCAGTCTTATTTATGTATCTAGGCATGTTAGGTTTGTGCCTCATGTATTTCCTTATAAAGATTTGCATGAAGCATCTAACAGCTCACCATCTGATTTGCATGGTTCTGAATCACGCAATATTATGTTCAAATCATCCCTTTTGTCTACACAGGTTGAGATCGTTCCCCCAGCTGCACAATCACTCGCGCCGACCTTTGTGTCTTCTCCGAGTACGTCTCTCTCTAACGTAGCTGACTACCCTCAACCTGCTCTGGTGGGTGTTCCAACTCCAGTTTCAACACCAGTTCCAATTCCAGTTCCAACTCCAGTTCCAACACAGTCAGTTGCGTCCAGTTCGTCGACCACCACTGTTCCACAAAGTGGTCAACATGCAGGCCAATCTGTGTCTGACTCCCAGCCCGTCACAACCTCCGAAACTTCTCAACCACAGAATAATCTTCGCTGCTCTTCCCGGGAGCGTCGTCCGAATCCAAGGTATTTTGATTATGTCATTAACCAAGTCACGTCACATCCCTTGCCTCCCACTTTAGAACCTTCTACCGTCGCCCAGGATCTTAAATACGCTTGGTGGAGGAAGGCGATGGATGAGGAGTTTGAAGCGCTCCAACGTAACAAAACATGACAATTGGTTCCCCGCGGCGCAGCTGTCCCAATTGGCTGCAAGTGGGTCTATCGTGTAAAGCGCAAACCGGATGAGTCGGTGGATCGGTATAAAGAACGGCTTGTCGCTAAAGGGTTCTTGTAGACTACTGGCCGAGATTATTTTGAAACGTATAGCCCGGTTATGAAACCAGTGACCATCTGTGTGGTTTTGACTATTGCCTTGAGTAATCGCTGGACTTTGCGCCAGTTAGATATTAATAATGCGTTCTTTCATAGGACGTTGCATGAGGAGGTGTTCATGGAACAGACACAGGGCTTTGTGGATCCTTCATTTCCGTCCCATGTTTGTAAACTCATTAAAGCTCTATACGGTCTCAAGCAGGCGCCTAGAGCTTGGTACTTGGAGCTTTCACAGTTCTTGTTATGCTGTGGCTTTGTGAAGTCACAAGCAGATAGATGCTTCTTTGTTCATCTATTCTACTAATACTGTCATTGTTTATTTCCTGGTGTATGTGGATGATATTACCTTAACAGGTAATGATGTTGAGGCTCACATTATTCATCTGTGTGTTTGTTCTAATTTAGCTCCTGTTGAATAGCTGTATAGGTTATATTAGTTGTTGTAACTTATTCTCTACCTTTCCTCCTATGTACACTATTTATAGCTTCCTGAGCTTACATTAATAAACATCAAGTTCATAAACTCTATATAACTGAAAATTGATGGATGGGCTAGTTTGATAAGAGAAAGATTTTAGAGTTTGGACAAAAAATTGTTAGCCTGATAACTCCAAAATCAATAGCCTAAACAGTTTGCATTCTATAAAAGTTTTCTCCAACGCTAGCAAACTCTAGGTTATAATAATCAACCGATGCATTGTTGTGGATGTTGGATTGAATGAATTGTTGCAGATTATAAGTTAAGATAATAAGTTGTACTATTGATGCATTATTTATATTAGGGTAACACTTGTGTTAGACCGCCTCACGGGTCACAATCCGTGAGACATGTCGAATCTTTGATTAACGGATCGAATTTTTGACATCATTCAAAGATCCGACTCATCTCACGATTGAAACCCGTGAGACAGTCTCACACAAGTTTTTGCCTTTATATTATTGTGGAAGCCATATGGATTATTATGGATGATTGTTTTTTTTTTTTTAAAGATATTATGGATGATTGTTAGTTTGCCGGTATGGATTATGTATGTTAAAAGGAAAACTATTAGCGGTAGGGAAAACAAAATACTCCCTCTGTCCCATTTTATCTGTCTTACTTACTATTCATTGGTCAAATCAACTCTTTCTTCTTTGTTTATTTTCTTTAGTATTTTTTACTTATTTTTAAATTTGATTTTTTTGTGTTTAATAGTACTTTTTGTGTAGTTTCTAAATATATAAAATTTTTATACTAATTCTAAACTTAATATTATGAAAAATTGAATTAAAAATAATTTTATTCAAGCCTTGTTAATCAAACCAGACACATAAAATGAGACCGGGAGAGTATTTTTTTTTTTTTTTTTTTTAGTGAAGAGTGCCTATAATATTTTTTTAGTTGTGTTGATTCATTAATTGTGTTGATAAAATTTAAGATTAAAGTATTGATAGAAATGAAGTTGAAAGTGTACCGGAGAAAAAAATAATGTATTTTCATCAAAATAAATTTTTTAAAATGACAAGAGGCGTTTATTCTTCCATAGGGATGGACACCTATTCTCTTTTGAAATAATAAATAGAGTTAGTTTCATTTTGGTCCTAAATTTATAGGTGACAGTCAATTTTTACTCTTTTTTATCGGAACATTCACATTTGGTCATAGTATTATTGTGATAAGACCAATTTTGATCCTCTATCAACAAAACAGTTTTAATGATGTTAACTACAAAGGAATTTTGGTCTCAGTTACGGATTTTTTTTTAAAAAATAAACATAAAAATATAGCGAGGTCAACTCACTTTATATAAAAATGACCAAAATGTCTTTGTATTTAACGATATTTTAATGATTTTGTTGACGGATGACCAAAAATGGTCATGCCACAATAATACTATTACCAAATGTAGATGTACTAATAAAAAAAGATTAAAAGTGGATTGTCACTTATAAATCTAGGACTAAAAATAGAATTAACTTGAATAAATAAATTGACTTTATGCGTCAGTTCCATCTAGGAATAGATGCAAAAAGTATTAATTTATTATTTTTAATAAACTTTCTGCATATGTTAAAGTACTACCTATATGCGTCATCTGTAATGCAAATTGGTTTGTCCAACAGACACAGATGACTCATTCTGTACTAGTGGAAGAAGAAATAAGAATTGAAGATTGTTTCTATTATTTTGAATGTTGTAGTCAACCCACCACTTTAGAGATTTACTTTGTCAAGTGTTATTTTCTCCTTAATTCATAGATCCTATATCTCTTCTAGCTTCAAAAGTGAATAAATGTTAATTTCTCTCCGTTATTTACTTTCCATACCCCTTCTTTGTTAACCTTTCACAATTAGACCCATTACAAGACAAATAAAAGGCATACTTGATCTTAGTATGTAAATTTAGATATAAACTAATAGGAGTATGAAGGGCAAACCTATGAGATATTTTTCCAATGCCAAATTTTGCAGAAACTC